AAGGTGTTTCTGGTCCCAGAAGGTGTTTCTGGTCCCAGAAGGTGTTTCTGGTCCCAAAAGGCGTTTCTGGTCCCACCTGTCGTTTTGCTCCTCAGCATGTCTTCATAAAAACACTACAGGATTTCTCAGACATGATGAATGAGTCAGATCAAGGCTTTGGACATGTTTTTATCAGAGGAGAACTTTATAACCTGATATAAACTCTAAAAATGAAGAGGCTAATTATTTGCCTGTAAATGTTGACTGCATATGAAAATATCCTGGTTTACTGTCTGTAAATGATAGATTTATCTTCTTAAAGGACAGTTATTTTGCTTTTATAATTACATTTAAGACTCAAATGCAACAAAGTACTTTGTGTTATTATTTCAGGAATAGTTTTTGGTCCAATTTTAGTATTTTTTAAACAATATCATGATAAAAATGTGTGGGTTTTCTCTGGGTGCTCTGGTTTCCTCCACTCCACTAAAATATGTGGAACAGGTTCTTCAGGCCCAGGCCGCTCTTAAAAACAGATCTGTGACCTGAACAGGACGTGCCCAGTTAAATAATGGTAAATAAAGTACAGTGGAGCACGTCATTTCACTCGTAGTTATTAACTTTATAGCTTTAATATATTTTACTGTCAAGTGGAGACTAAACTGCTCATCTTAGACTAGAAGACAGAGTTGTCCCAGAAGAAAACAAAGACAGGTGAGATGTAAAGTCAGAAGATGTGCCTCAGGCTGCAGCCCACACTGCATTCAGACTGAAGCCAGCTCAGGAGTCCGGCAGTGCATCTAGCATGGCATGGTTTGAAACTTTTTGTGTTTTTGAGTAAACATTACAGAAAGAAAAACGATGTCCATCAGATCGTGTGCTACAGTGTTAGTGAGCAGTGTGGGCACACCTGATATACCTGATTCAAAGAGGTTTCTGAAACCAGCCCACAAATTACACTTCTTCATATGATCAGTGATGGACCCTTTACACACCACAGGAACAAACGTAACTTTTACCTCCTTAGGGTTAACCCTTTCCTGACTGGGTTCAAGCATGAGACATAGAGCTATTCAGAAAGGATGCCCCAGATGGTGGTTCTGTAGAATGGTACAGATCTCTACGTTAGATGTGGTGGTGGTGAGCTGCAGACATCACTGAACTGGTTTAAGATATCTGGCTCAAATGTTACAACTGGATAAACAAAGACAGCAGTCTTATGTATGATGAGCTGATTCTACAAAAAGGAATTACAGTAAAC